CCCCGGCTGCAGCCCGTCGCCAGCCCCGGGCCTTCCCCGCGCCGGTGAGTACCGCCGCGCTTACCGCTGTGCCGGGACGGGGGGGTCCCGGCCGGTGTGTTTGTGTGTGTCCCCCCCCCCAGTGTGCTCTGGGGTAACGCTGCTCCCCTGGGGGTCGGGGAAGCCGCGGGTGTCTCGGCCCGCAGCCCGCCTCCTGAGCATCGCCCAGCCCGAAGTTAGGTGCCGGTACTTACTTTCCGCATCAATTAAGTGAACTCAGCTGGGTCGCAGCGCCGAGGCATCACGCAGCACCCCGGGCGTCCCGGAGCTCGGCGGAACTCAAGACCGGGCAAAGTAATCCCGTTTGCGCTAAGCTCCGGAACAGCCGCTCCAGGAGCCCGGCTTCGCCTCTCGCCCCGGCTGCCTTGGCTGGCCGGGACGTTATTCCCCAGGAAGGCGGAAAAACCGGGGAGAGGCTGCCCAGAAGAAGCTGCGCCCGACCGAAGATGTTAGAGGAGGCGAAGGGGGGCTGCTTTTTGCCCGTTGCGTGCCTCCATGCCTGTCTTTCCCTTGTCTTAATCCTTTAGGAAGGAGACGCCGGGCAGACAGACCTTTCCTGGAGGGGCGATGCTGCCGAGCCCTGCCCCGGGCAGAAGAAAGCCTTTGCCGCCGGGACCCGCCGGTACCGGAGATGCGCGGCCCGGGGCAGGCTGCGGGAGAGCGTGAGGAGCTGCCTCCGCCTGCGCTTTTCTGAGAGGGGAAAAAGCATGGTAAAAGCTGGCCCCGATCCTTGGAGCGCAGCCCCGCTGAGCAGGAGGTGGGATTATTCCAGGGTAGTTACGGAGAGCTATAACCTGGCAGCAGAGTGTTAAAGCGACTCGGCCCCGCTGGAAGAGGAACCCGCTGCGGGCACCGCCGGCGTGGCAGCCCGCGTCGTGGCTGTGGGGAGGTCACTCGGGTCCTTCTCCTCCTCTCGCCCTTCTTTCTCCTTCTAGTGAACGACAGAAGAAAGAACCGGTACTCGGCTCTTGCCAGCGTTGGGAATACCGTGCCTTTTGCCTGGGATGATTTGTCCTGACGTGCCGCTTCGACGGGATGTACAAAGTGCGACTGGGACTGATCCGGCCAACAAAGTTTGCAGCGTGATCGGCAGGGGCAGTGGGATGGAGGTAGCTGGGCACACGCCAGTGGGGTCCGTCACGCATGGTCCGACAGCACAGACCTGCTGCTCCCTTGAAAACTAACTCCTGATGGTCAAACTCTGCCGGCTCCTGTTTTTACTTCTCCCCTGCCAATCTGCACTTTCAGGGAAAAAAACACACACACCTGATGCAATGCAGTGTTTTTGTGGTGGTTTTGTGTATAAGATTTGCTATGCAATTCCAAAACTAAAAGAGGAGGAGAGACGGCCCTGCATCCCAGAGCAAACAGAGAATCAGAGGTGAAAGGTAGGAGCCAGCATTTCTCATTTAAATAAAACTAAATAACCTGAGCTACTTCTTACTGAAAACCTTTAAAACACACCTACTGTATGTTTATTTTCTTTGTCTTGGAAGTGTAAAACAGTTTGAAACAAAGTGAAGATTTGCTTTCTGACGCTGCCCAGAAACAGAGAACTGATGCATTTTGTAACAGGAATGTACCGAGGAGGAAGGATGGAGTGTTTCATCAGTGAGACATTTAGGAAACTAGAGAAAAGCACCTCATATAGTATGCTTCAGTAAATAGGAAAGGCTAGTGCAGTGGACTCTGGAAACACTCGATCAATAGCCTATTTAAGTGGGAATATATGCAAGCATGGAAAAGTGATTGCTTTCCTGTCTGTGGGGTATATTTGCAGAGGACAGCAGCAGAACATTTGCAGGTGAGCTGTCTGAATTAGGCCTCTTCATGCTGGGGTGGTGCAGTGTGTTTCTGAAGGGATTGCTTAAAAAAACAGTCTGTGGGGTGGACTGTATTTGTGCATTTTCAGTTCCTGCTCATAAAGCTTTCAGTGGGTTCAGGATGATTCAAAGTCCATCCGGGGGCGAAAGGGCCATGAGAAAGGACCTTTGGTCTCTTTGGTGATGAGTAGTTAATGGACGTCTGATGTCTCTGATCTCTGCAAGGAAAGGAGCTGATGCCGTCATGAAAATCATGATATGATTTTCCCTCAGGAGAAACTATGACTTGGAACGACACCACTATGGACGGGGAAGGGTTGCTGGTGGAAAGGGACTCTTCCTTTCGGATCCTCACGGGCTGCTTCCTCTCGCTGCTGATTCTCTCCACGCTGCTGGGAAACACGCTGGTCTGTGCAGCTGTCATCAGGTTTCGCCACCTCAGGTCCAAGGTGACCAACTTCTTTGTCATCTCCTTGGCCGTGTCAGATCTCTTAGTGGCAGTTTTGGTCATGCCTTGGAAAGCTGTGGCTGAGATCGCCGGTTTCTGGCCTTTTGGTTCGTTTTGCAACATCTGGGTGGCCTTTGATATTATGTGCTCAACAGCCTCCATCTTAAATCTCTGTGTCATTAGTGTGGACAGATACTGGGCCATCTCCAGCCCATTTAGGTACGAGAGAAAAATGACCCCCAAGGCAGCCTTCATCATGATCAGCGTGGCGTGGACTTTGTCCGTGTTGATTTCCTTCATCCCTGTGCAGCTGAACTGGCACAAGGCTACAACCACAAGCCTTTTGGACCTAAATGCCAGCTTACAAGGTATAAGCATGGACAACTGTGATTCTAGCCTAAACAGGATGTATGCCATCTCCTCTTCTCTAATTAGCTTCTATATACCTGTGGCCATCATGATAGTAACTTACACGAGGATATACCGGATTGCTCAGAAGCAAATACGACGCATCTCAGCTTTGGAGAGAGCAGCAGTGCATGCCAAGAACTGCCAGAACACGAGTGGCAACAGAAGCAGTATGGACTGCCAGCAACCAGAGAGCAACTTCAAAATGTCCTTCAAGAGGGAAACAAAGGTTTTAAAGACTTTGTCGGTGATCATGGGCGTCTTTGTGTGCTGCTGGTTGCCATTTTTCGTATTGAACTGCATGATTCCCTTCTGTGAGCCTACCCAACCTTCCAAGGGAGCAGAAGCTTTCTGCATTAATTCCACCACCTTTGATGTTTTTGTTTGGTTTGGATGGGCTAATTCTTCCCTCAACCCCATCATTTATGCCTTCAATGCTGATTTCCGCAAGGCATTTTCGACCCTGCTAGGATGCTACAGGCTCTGCCCTATGTCCAGCAATGCTATAGAGACTGTTAGTATTAACAATAATGGAGCAGTCGTTTTTTCGAGCCAACATGAGCCCAAAGGGTCCAGCCCCAAAGAGTCTAATCTGGTTTATCTGATTCCACATGCAATTATCTGTCCAGAAGAAGAACCTCTCAAAAAGGAAGAAGAGGGTGAACTATCTAAGACCTTGGAGAAAATGTCTCCAGCACTGTCTGGTATCTTGGATTATGAAGCTGATGTTTCTTTGGAAAAGATCAATCCCATTACACAAAATGGGCAGCATAAAACCTGAACAGTAAGGTTTACCCAGCAAGACCTAATAGTGTATCTGGTAATAACCTTTAAAAAAAAAAAAAAAAGAAAGATATACAAGATTTTTTGGTAAGAAACTAAGCTCTAGGGAGAAAAACAGATTTACACCAAGCCCAGATTTAATTTTCCTGACATTCAAAGCAAATTTAACATTTTAAACAATAAACAGAAAACGATACTGAAAATTGGTTTAAAAAAAGGATATTAAACTGTACTGTTCATACTGAGGAAAAAATACAAATTTAGATACAGTGCAGTGACAAAGAAAGTATTGCTGCTTCTCTACACAGAGAAACCAATTTATAGCTTAAAATGAGGCAAAAGATAAATGTTAAGTATTTAAAGATTAATGTTTACTAGAAGTTAAAAGATTGCTGTGTCTTGTGCTAGTGGGTGTTAACAGATCCTAATTAAAGACTGGGGGATTGTAAAGGTAGGTAGATGCCTTCTTAAAATTATTTCTGATGAATAATTGAGCCTTATAATGAGAATGGTTATTTTTAAAGCTTTGGGAGGTAATATGTTGATACTGGTTTTATTTATTTATTGTTTTAAATCGATATTTTTCATATGTTATAACAGAACTAGCTTTATTTATGTTATTTAAGATGTCTAAATAATGGGATATTTTTGGAGTGTCATAACTGCATTTTGATCAGTCAACCAGTCAGCACTTTATTACAAGCTCTGATAGTCTGGAGAGGTGAGGAGAATGAAGGAATGTTAAGAAGCTCAGCAAGAAACGAAGGAATCAACAAAACTGATGCTGTATGGAGTTTGTTTGCTTGTGGGCTTTTTTTTTTTTAAAGTGGAATTTCTTTCAAAAGATAGGACCAGCGTTGACTGAGTTGTGAATTCTCTTCCCTTATAGAAATAAAAGAAATTGCTGCTATTTATTTTTAAAAAGTTTCATGTTACAAAGACTTTGCTAGAATGTCAAGTTTGTGGATCTGTAAATACCTTAAATATGACTACAACCTTAAGAAGAATCCAATTTGAGAAGAAAAGCTTCTTAGATAACAATTCTTAGTATATAATGTTTTGTATTTATGTAAGATAAACGGCTTTCTCAGACTTTTCTTATTTCAAGTCTTGGATATCTTTTCTGAACAAACACAATTGGTTATAATGGTAGTAAACATGCCAAACCTCGTTATCATCTGTATTATTGCAGTACCACCAGGATCATGCTCTCTGTCTGCTACTGTACCACGGTCAGAGTTAAAAAGTGAGGTACCTAGTGCTTTACTTTGGAAACTAGGAGGACGTTACATTTTAGTAATTACCATGTCAATAGTCCATTCGATATGGAATAGTGCCTCATTACCATTTTGGATTAAGACATTTCTAAATATGGATGGAACTGCAGCCCCCACCTCAAAAAGTCATGTGAGCTCCAAAAAAGTTGCTAATGTTTAATTAAAAAAACCTGCTACTTTTCCATTGTCCTTCCCTGCTGCTTTCCCTTTGTAATGCCAAAAGCAATCAGTGAACATTAGCAACAGGAACATTGGGTGTTAATATTCAGCAGCATTCAAAGAAAGCTATTTGTTTTCCGAAAATACCCTTTGGAGCAACTTTTTCATAACATATATAAAAAAAAATGTGTTGTCAGAAAAAGAGAACTGAGAAGAAAAAAAATTTAAACTCTAATGAACTATATACATCCTGCATCAGGTCTGTGTATTTATGTATTGTGAATGTTTTCATAATTTTATTGCTTGTATGCTGCTTTCATACATATAATAAAATTATTTTGTGAACAGAAGGTCAAATAAAATGATCTACATTGCATTTATTAAATACATGCTGTTTTTTGGCACTTGTATTGATCGTGTTAAAGGCAAGGACGGTTCCTCTTTTTCCATTTGCCCTTATTTGGGATCATACCCGTAAGGCAGATGGGAATTTTTATTAGAAGCAGGAGAAAGCCCTCTCTCCAGAGAGACCTCTGAGCCCTTGCTCTAAACTAGGATTTGAAAGCAGTAAACACAGTTTGGAAACAACCACACTCTGCTTTAATGTGACTAGTTAAAATATGTAAAGCTCGACTTACTGGTGACTTTTATTTCAATGATTTTTTTTGCCTTGGTGTAACAGGGTAGTGAACTTGGTTTATAGCATGCTTTTATTGTTGCTTTTTTATCTTCTCCCCCCCCCCTTCCCCCCAAGTTGTGCAATACTTTTCAAAGCTTGATACAGCCCCACTGCTAGTGTCTGGTTTTTGGAACAAAATGAATCATTTCAGAAGCGAGGCGATGGTGCGTGCAGCTGAGTGAGGTTCACCAGTGTCCCTCTGTTCATGGCAGCCCTCTACTTTGTTTTTGCCTGTCAGCAGATTCATTTTGAAATGAAGAAAAAAACCAAACAAACGTGGTCACTTCTGCCTCAAGCATTACCAGTGTGACCCATTCAGCAGCTGGGATCTGAGCTGGTGCACGAGCTGCGGTGATGTCCAGCTCCCCTTCCTTTAGCGCTAACTTCCCTTGGGCAGTGAATGCAGCAGGTCTGACGGCAGGCAGGGAGTCGTGTCTGCCTCCAGGCTTTCTTAGCTCCTTGGGTAAAATTTCCTTGCATGGTGCTGATGCCTGATTTTTTTTTTTTTTTTTTGTACTTTTGAAGAATTATTTTACTTTTTAAAATTACACAGGCCAAAGATAAAGTTCTGTGGTTGCCTACTTAAATACATCTGTCTTCAAGAGCTTTTATTCTCCAAACTCCCAGCAGTCTATATAATAGCAAAATACAAAATACATTTAAGGAGATCATGTAAAGCAAGATGCTGTTCTTGTATTAGTTTGTATGAGGATGATTTGTATTCTGAAACAAATGGTTGCTCTAGTGTGACTAGGAGCCATCCCAGGAACTCCCTCCTGAGTTCCAGAGGGACTCTGTGGAGGTTGGTGGGGAAATGCTGCCTGCTACTGCTGCTGGGTGCTTCCATTTGGTGTGACAGGCTCCCTGTTAAAGGCAGGGCAGGAGAGAAGTTTTTCTGAGTGTATTTTACTGTTTTTTTTCTCTACTTCTCTTTAAACTAATTTTTGCTTCTGCCTCCTTTCCCTTACATACATTGTAGAATACCATTAATTTGCCTTGATCCTCGTTTACCGATGTACTCAATTTACTCCTTCATTTTCCAGCCTTTCCAGCTCGTTTTTTTTTATCTGCCCTTTCTTCCTTTCTTCCCACTGCTGCTAGAGCTGTTCTGTCACCCGTTTGGATTTATTGGCCCCAATAATCCTTTGCTTGGGAGAAAGTCCAAATTAAAATCCTACCCCCCCAGCACAGCCAAGAGTCCCCTTCCCACAGCCTGCACACAGAAATGTTTCTCTTACCTGTTGCAGAGCCTGGAGACCAGAGTCAGGGGTGACTAGAAGGGACAACAGCATGTGCCTGCTAACTACTACTCTGTTTATGTGCTGAATTAATTGCTCAGGAGCTGTATTACCTGTTCTGCACCCGGTCCCCAGCTGCTCGAAACCAGTGGTCTGCTGAAACTACTGGTCATACCAATGTCAGGAAGCACCCCAGGGACTGGAGACATGCCAGAGCCATGCTGGGCTCTGGTGGAGCTGATAGCAGGGAGTTAACTGGTGAGGTTTGGCCATAGTAACCCTGCGAGTAACCTGCGAGGAGTGCTTACTGTTCCATGCTAGCAGGCAGCATCATCCTCTCTGCTGTTCTGGAGGATGAGAGCAGCAGAAGTTCATTTGCAATAACGTCATCTTTGAGATAACAGCCACTTTGGTGAAACACTTCCCTAGGAATGTTTTTCTCGCCATGTGTTGCAATATGTGGCCGGGCAGAGGCAGAGCCACCAAGAAGCAGCGACGTGTCAGGACACCAGGATGTCACTGCTCCCACCAGGATGGCCACCTTGTCTACCCTGTGGGCACCAGGTGCTTTTCTCCCCACCTTGCCCACCCCCAAGCAGTATTTTCTGCTGTGGAGCGAGCCTTGCTGTGTGCCTTTCCGATGCACCCGCAAATAACCCATGTAACCTTTTTTCCTGCGTTGCTTCCTTGTGACTGAAGGTATTTTTCTATTTGTGGATGGAAGAGGTTAATAATTCACCTGATGGCCTTGATGAAGGAGCTGTTTGCAATGAATGAACCATAATCACTAGATTAAATCTGAATACATTTCTCCCTTCCCTTGGCAAGCATTTTATGCTGATTTGGGTTTTTAACTTAACAAAGCATATAAAAGATAGAGGATGGAAGAGGAAATGCTGTTGCTGATGTACAGTTTTAATAATAGTTATTGGGAGCCAGTCCTGGATTTTTTCAAATCAACAATTTTCAGAAGCACCCAAATCAGATTGAAATCTCAAAAACCTGCTTTGGTTAGTATCTTGAGAGACAGATTATTCCAGTAAATATTTTGGTTTTTTGATATAACGATAGTAGAATATGATCCTAGCGATACCACTTCTGTGGCCACACAATGAATGTTACTTAAAGACTGAGGAAAACAATGGTATCTGTTTCTTAACTTCCGAAAGATTGAAACACATAGTGTAAAATGTTCTTGCACTGTTCTGTTGCAGCAGAGATGGGCTGAGCCAGGCGTTGGGCTCCCACCATGAGCCTTGGATCAGGTCGGTGTTGATCTCCTCTTTGCGAGAGGTTCTGGGCTGCCTGGCTGCCTCCTCAAGCCCTGTGGGGGGCTGCTGGGTTTGCAGGGTGGTGTTCCTTCACCCCAGATCTCAAAGTCAGGGTTACACTTGTGAACACCAGCCTTCCCAGATGGATCTGGAGAGTGCCATGCTGCTGGCCCTGCTGCCCTCCCCAGCCAGGCACAGGTCTTTCCAATGCACCGCCAGAAGCGTGTTTCTACAAATGTAGTTTTGAGGCTGAATGTGTAAATTGAGTATACGATGGCTATTTGCATGTTGGTTGTCTTTACAGTCATGGTCAGAATGAAATGGCAATTTTCTGCCATGCCTGTTTTTATTCTGTTTCTAGGAAAAAACTCTGGGCAATGATACAGGAGAAGGCTGCTGGCC